TCCTAGCTGGGATATGCTTTGAAATAATGGGAAATGTTTAATTAATCTTGTTGATTACCCTATTCTATACTTATGTGAACTTAATTTGTTAGTAATCAATTTGATTTATTGCTTCCTCTGTAACAGAATAAATGAGTTACAATTAGAAAAACACAAGCAATGATAATGTCAACTCAAACCAAAAAAAGGACACTGTAGCCAAATGCCAGAGATGTTCAAGCCCTTTTCTTTATGTCATATACCAAAACAACTAGAAATGAAATTATCTGCAAGTTGCAACACTAACGAGATACTTCACTATGTTCGTTATAAGGTTGTCTTGAGAAAAGAGACAGTTGATTGTTTTTCTAGATTTAAAATTCCTCTTCTCATTTTTAAACTAATTTTGATGCAGTGTCCTCTGAAGGAAGTATACTAGCTACTGGGAGCTATGACACTACAATAATGGTGTGGGAGGTCTGTCGTTCTAGAACACTGGACAAGAGAGTTCGAAGCAGTCAAAGTGACATCGTCCGTAAAGATTATATCATTTCCGAGACCCCTTTTCATATTCTTTGTGGACATGATGATATAATTACATGCTTATATGTTAGCATGGAGCTTGACATAGTTATCAGTGGGTCGAAGGATGGAACATGTGTTTTTCATACCCTACGAGAGGGACGATATGTACGATCTCTTCGTCATCCATCTGGCAGTGCATTGACAAAGCTTGTTGTATCACGGCATGGACGGATTGTGCTATATTCTGATGATGATCTAAGCCTGCACCTTTACTCAATTAATGGAAAACACATTGCAAGTTTGGAGTCATATGGACGCCTCAGCTGTATAAAACTCAGTGCTTGTGGTGATTTCTTGGTTTGTGCAGGTGATCAAGGACAAATAGTTTTACGCTCTATGAACTCCCTGGAAGTTGTGAAAAAATATCCTGGGATAGGTAAGGTTATAACGTCACTCACAGTTACTCCTGAAGAATGCTTTTTGGCTGGCACAAAAGAAGGAAATCTTCTTGTGTATTCTATAGAAAACCCTCAACAAAGAAGGGGTGGCCTGCCCCGGAATATAAAATCAAAATCTTCAGTAGCTGGATAGACCGTCTGTTGAAGCAGCATCTATTGTGATTGTTTGTTTAAGGTATGGTCAATTGCTCATCTTACTTGAGATACTATAGCTTCTCTTAAATTGTTTAGTCTGCACTGCACTATTACGTTTTAAACGGTTTACAGCATAACATCAATTTTATTGTTTTTTGACAATTAATTTTTGGGTTTATGACCAAACTTTGTTACTTGTGTACTTGTCAGTAAATTACAGCTGCATATTAAGTAATAATGCAACGATAGCTGAAAAGGTTTAACGATAAAAAAGGCTTGTTTCTTCTGCAGGACCATATCAATAAAATTTAGGAGTGCCTGTCCGGCTGTCCCCGGAAAAATTGCTGCTCTGGTGCTCATAATAATCATTTTAAGTGGAACTTGTGTACTTGCAAAAGGATCATATGAACAGCTCTAGCAATAACTTCAAGTATAGTAATGACTTCAAGGATGTGGCAGAAGCCAACTATCTCGCCTTGCTCTTTCATGCTGAGCACTGGCAAAAGGCAGCCTCAGATTCATGCATTGCATTGCCTTTTAAACCTCCAAACTACATACATTATGCTGAGTTTTTAGCTTAAATCAGTTAAATGAAACTGTATATCAACATATTGTTACAGAGAAAAAAGAAAATGTCACATATTTAGTCAGCAAGATGACGTAAATCATTGATATAGGATTGTAGCATTAGCTTGGTCAATCCCCTTCTATAGCAGCAGCGTTAAGCTAACCCCAAACTTTGTACAGACGAGACATTCATTCTCTCATAATAGAAAGCCATTTTTTGTGTTGTATCAACATTTTTTCTCTTCTAATTTATTGGTGATTGTGCTTTATTTTGGATCTTTAGTCCTTTTGAATTTTTTATTGTCTCAGACTCTCAGCTTGTAAAATTTAAGGTTGTGAGACTTGTGACCATCTAGGTTGATGTAAGACCCTATCTGGCTCTAGTATCTTTTCTTTTCTTGATGGTCATAATTTGCCTCAAGCCAAGAGTAAACCACGCCAGAGTGGCAGAGTCCATAACTTATATTTCATCAATTTTTTTCTTCTTCGTTTTTTCGATAAAAACACAGCGTAGTGATTGATACAGGGCTACATGAAATTATATACTCTGTTCAGTGGTACGGTGGAGGAGTATATTATTTTACTATGCATAGCTTTTTTAAAAAAAATAAAATAAAAACCTTTTTCCTACTAAAAACCATGGAGAATCACAAGGGTATTACAACCTTCCAAAAACAGTTCTAACTTAATTCAAAAATATTGCAACAGAATTAAAATTCAGGTTGGATTAACCGATTGAGTAAAGTCTAAAATTGTGACTTATTATCGTGGTTATTAGAACTTGCTGATTAGTATTCTGATTCTATTATGACTATCAGAATTAAAAGTAAAGTTGATAAATGCAGTTTTTCTGCCTGCTGCCTGTATTCTATTATGTTTTGAGTGTAGCCATGTCGGGGTTGATTTTGATTAAGGGCGCTACTTAGTCTAAAGTTTGTAAATATACTCAAATATCATTAATCATTAATTGCCTAATAGGAAATTCCATAGAAATGAGACTGATATATATTGGATAATGGATAGTAAACAGTGGCCATATGTACAGTTATACTACCTCAAGCCAAGAATAGAACTATAGAAGGCACTAGAGTTCAGACCTAAATCTTAACATATTTCCATTCATTATCTAATGCTAATCAAAGAGCTGCTCTTCATATCCGACCAACGAATAAAACATCCTTTTCCAAACTGTATATGAAACTAAAGAGCCACTTCTGGTCATGGTGTCAAGGTATCTATATGCTTCTGCATGCCATCCTTGGTTGCAGAGTGAAGTAAGAAGAGCTTCACATATGAACTTATCTATAGGGATATTTTTTGACAGCATTTCTTCAAATATATCTAGTGCTTTTCGTCTTTTAGTCTCATTGCAAAATCCGCAAACCATAAGTCTGTATGTTGCTAAATTTGGAGGTGCCAGGTCCCCGTGGTTCATCCGGTCAAAATACCTCTCTGCTTCCAAAATCCTCCCAGCACCCCAGAGACTACTCAACAAACAATAACAATGAATGACAGTGTTGATAAAGGCACCTTTCCTAGAGAGTTCGTCGAAAATCTTCATAGCACTGTCAACTTCACCTTTATTGCACTGCTGCACAAAGACATATCTTGCAAGCTCATCAGAGCAAACAAGCCCCTTCTTGCATTCAACATGGAAGAACTTTAGGGCGTCTTCCTCTCTACCAGCCCTAAACAGCGCCTTGATGAAAGATCCATAAACACAAACCTGTGCCATGGACCTCTTTTTCATCATCTTCTTCAACAACAATTCCGCATCATCAAGCTTTCCCACAGCACACAAACACCGAAGATACGTCTCATATACCATCATTTCAGGAATTTCTCCCTTATAATTCAGCTGAAAAATCGCCCTCCTCCTCTCCTTCAAGAACTCGGCTTCAGACCCACTAACACCATCTCTCTTTATCAACTTGTCAAACAACTTCCTCGCCTCCCGGAACTTCCCTTCTTTACATAAACCATGCATGAAGCTTCCATACACACACACATCAACATCAACACCCCCTTTAACCATTTTCCTAAGTACCCAGTCAGCTGCATCCAAATCCCCATTTCTACATAAACATTGAAATAAAACAATGTATGTAACATCATCAACCCTAAAACCCCTACAATACATTTCATGAAGCACCGATTTCGCCACCGAACCCTCATTATATCTACACAAAACCCCAACCAAAGCCACATAACTCTGCCTCCCTAAAACCCTAGTACCCATCAAAATTCTCTCACATACATTCTTAATCTCATCCAAATCACCACATTTACACACATAAATCACATAATCTGTCAAATTAATTTCATACCCATTACTAATCTCACCCCATTGAACCTCAACATCATCTAATTTCTCATCTTTAAACATACAATCAAAAACTAAATTAAATGCAAAGTAAGGGGATACCTTCAAATTGTCCTTCAAATGCAAGAACACAGCTTTTGCCCGATTAAGCTTCTTCAATCGGCAAAGACCCTCAATAATTGCAACGGAAGTAACAGAATCAAACAATTTGGAATGGGATAAAAGGAAATCTAATTGGGAAAGTGCTTTGAAATTTCTAGGGTTTTGGGTTAGGGTTTTAGCGAAGGAGAAAAATTGGGGGATGAAATGATTTGGGTATGATTGGGTGGTTTTGATGGGTGGTTGGTAGTTAGGTTTAGCGGTTATTGAGTAGAAGAGAGAGAAAGCGAGTTGTCGGATTTTCTGTCGGCGGTGGTGATGGTGGTGGAGGAAGAGAGAGAAAGTGAAGGCGGGAAATCTCATGAGTGGTATAGTTCAGGTTTCAGTTATGATGGTTGAAGTTTGTTATTACTTCCTCGGTTTTTCTAAATGAAACATCACAGGGTCATTAGCCATAATGGTACAGAATTGATCTCAGGATCTCTTGAAATCCGGGAGGAAAACTTTAACCACTTGAGCTATCCATCATTCTCAACATCGCAACGTCATACGAGTACTTGATATGGAATACTCCGTACTAATTTTAAGAATTGAAGAAGAACTATTAAAATTTGATTTACTTCATTTCTACTCCATATTACTAATCTTGAAGTTGCTACTCCCTCCGTTCTCCATAGAAATAAATAGATAATGTTACTTTATTAATGAGAGAGGAAAGTGGGTGGGGTTTATTGGGGTGGTTGTGAGAGTAAAGGTGTGGTCATATATGTCTAAAATAGAATGATGTAAAATTTAAGTGACGAACTAAAAAAGTAATTGGGACAAACAATAATAAACAAGGGAGCATACTTATTAATTTGGACGGTTGGATGAATTGGAATTATGTTAATCACCAATGATTAGACTCATTCTAGTTAAGATTGCTAAACTTTTCTTCAAGGCACATCCCAATTGAAAAGATGCATTTTATACAACTTTTGGCTTTGTGTGCTTGACCCAATTTTACGAGATTTAACTTTACAGATTTTGTCTAATAATCTACTACGACACATAATGACAATACAACGAGGTTACTATTTATTCACAATACATTATTTCACCAATTCTAGATTTCCTCTTTGGACATGTATTAATACCACCAAGTACTTTCATATTTCCTTGTTTATTACTTTCTTGAGCTAATAATCATAGCCAACTAATGTTTTGTCAAAAAAATAATCCCAAAGCCAACTAATGAATTGTATCCAAACCGAGCATTATTTGAAATACTTGAGTAGATCATAGTGAGCTACGGAGTACTAAACATCATCAATATCACTTCTTGTTTTCTTCTAGATAATGGATAAACTCCTCAATATACTGACCATTCAAGTTCTTATCACCAAAAACATCTTTCATTCTCCTACATTGGGTCCTCAATGCTTCACCCTCTTTTTCAACCATTGCCAACCGCACTGCCTTGGCTACGGTTTCCCTTCTTAACGACCCATCTTGCTCATCGCGTGCAATCTCCACCCCAAGTCCTTTCCCCACCAACAATCTAGCAATCAGCCCTTGGTCGTTCATCACAGGGAAAAGTACCATTACGCGCCCAAGTCCAAGACCCTCAACCACTGAGTTCCACCCACAATGTGTGAAAAAACCGCGAATTGAGGGGTGACTCAATATCTTCAACTGCGGAGCCCAGCCTAGGTGAACCAACCCTCGATCAGCTACTCGATCTTTGAACCCTTCTGGAAGCATCTCCAACACATTTTTAGCCAATCCAGGTGGATCGCGGAGGACCAAGATAAATGGTATACCGGATAGCTCCAAACCAAAAGCCAATTCCTCGAGTTCTTCTTGACTTAAAGTAGACTCACTCCCAAGTGCAACATACAGCACAGAATCTGGTTTCCGATAGTCTAACCACTTCTTAAGCAATATCCATTCTTCATTGTCTGATTGTTCGTTATCAACCAAATAATCAGGAAAAAAGCAACCAATAGGAAGAACAGTTTTTTCATAGAGCTTACTAAGGAGCTCAAGCCATGTAGGCTCAAACCCAGGCAAGGTTCTGATACAAACAACATCACATCCTGCAATAGAGGCACCAAACCGCACTGTATCTGGTGTCGCGATATCTGCATCAACTGAATGCATGAACTTCATCACCTCATGAAGCCGATAAGCAATGTCTGATTCAAAAGGAATCCAATCAGGAACCACAGTAAAGTCTTCAGGGACTAATCGAGTATTGGCTAAGAGTTCGGCTGGGGGTCCCATGAAGGACAAAGTTGCAGCATTGAACAAAGCTAAGTATGCACATGAAGAGCCAATCTTAGCTGCAATTGGGGGGATCCAATAAGAAGTGAAATCATAGAGAATCCAGTCTGGTCTTACCTACAACATTAACTTAAACTACTCAGTAAGGACTAAAGATCCTCCTGTTCTTCCAACTCCCAAATTTGGAAATCAATTGTCACAAATTCTAACAAATTCGGATCTAGTTTTGTGACAACTAAATCTAAAAAACAATAAATCATATGAAGATACTTTTAACATTGAAACTAACAAGAATAACTTTACATGTAAACTCTTATATTTTGCAACAACTAATGATCAAAATTGAGCTCTAAAGTCAAACAGATGAAGTACTCTTATCTTACCTCTTCTAAGAAAGCAGTGATTGGATATTCCAGCAAATCGAACCTGCTCTTCAAAAGGGGCTGCAAAGTGCTGGGCACATCCATAGAGGACTCTGCATCATCAGGCACGCGATCAAGATGAGGCAGAGGGAGGCTAATCAAGTTTATGGAAGACGACAAATTTGCTGGAATTTTTGGTAGTCTTTTGATATTCTTAGGAGTTGTTATGAAAAACACAGTAACACCCTTCTTGGCTAAGAACTTAGAGAGTTCTAGGAACGGTATCAAGTGTCCCATGGCTAGCCACGGAATCATAACAATCTTAAGGGATGAGCATTTCTCCATGGCTATGCAAAATCGGGATTGTAGAAAGGAAGAAGATATATGTAAGTCAAGGAATCGAGGGTATACATACAACGCCAGACACCAAACTGATATCAATTTAATACAACGTCGTCTTTGACTGATATTCTAAAGTTGGGTGCCATAGTGAGATGAACTCTAAGGCCACTAGGGTGTAATACAAGATTATAGTTCTCTTTGTTTGGTCAAAAGAAAACATATCTTACCAAACTGATAGGGGCTGATATGATAATACTATTTTAGTCAAGAAAGACGAATTTTGCTGTATATTATGGGCATAACATTGATCTTCCAAATTATTGACAGAAATCTGCTGATTGTGTAATAGCTGTCTTTATTAATCCCATAATTTCCATATGGTCACATTATATCTAGACAAGATAAAAAAACATACTTTGTGTTACACAAGTATTCTAGCTTTTATCTCACTTTTGTATAAACTTCACTGTCAATACCATATTCTGATCTCTTAGCTCCAATGATAGCATACTTGTGTAACATACCTCTCAGTTTTTCTCCCTGAAATACCTCCTGATTTGGTTATGAAATGGCCAAAAATCCACTATATATCGTCTTCATGAACTCTGAAACTACTTCAATTAAATGCCTTCACTTTCGAATATATGTCTATCACCCCTCTCTTGGCATATGCCTTGAGTCCTTGACCAAACCTCTCACAAAATTTAAAGATCCTTAAAATCATTAGTTTTTTTCTTCAAAAAAAACTCATTAGTTTTAGAAAGAATTCCCATATACAAGCAGCTAATGTGGAAAGATCAAGATTATTCAAATAGCAACACTAAAATACAGTAGGATAGGCTCATAATTACTAAACATTTTCGTTTAATTACTTAGTTTAATATATATAAAACTTTTCCCTGTCATGAATTCTACTGTAAACAGCAAAAAATGAGATGAACCCATTTCTTGCAGAAGCAAGGCAATCAATCCATAAAATGTGCAAGAATTTGTAAAAAGACTTGATATGTTTTAATGTATCAATATCATCTAGGTTCAGATAACACAAATTCAAGAATTTTTTTTTTTTTTTTTTTTTTTCCTTCTTCCTTGTAAAGAAACACAATTCAAGATGTAATTCCTAACGAAGTTGCATGATAAGGCAGATAAGCTAAAGTATTTATATTCATGCACCCATTTGCAATTGTTTCACTCAATGATAACAATTGGTCATGAATTGAAAAGGATGTCCAGCTAGTGCTCTAAATTGGAGTATAGATTATAATAGCAGGGAATAACAAGGAGCAAACATGAAAGGGTCGTTTTCAAATTTGAAGTCTTTTGTACAACATGTGTATTGTATATAGTAATAGATTATAGCTATTTGAAATCACATAAAAGTCACCCCTTTGTGAAACAGACTTCTATAAGATTTGGGGTGACTTCGCGTCATGTTGATTGTATACAATATAATTGTTGTACTATATAAGTTTTTGCCAATTAAGAAATTAAGCATTCTCACTAGAAAAACGCCACCATTTATTATGAACCTAAATCGGCCTACTAAATGATTTCTTTGGTTAAATCTATAATATAATCAACCTCAAACCAAATCTCGAGTATGAAGTGTTCATTGCAACTATGTCTAAATTTTAGGATAAATTTGATTATTATGGAAAATGAAGTAAAAAAAAATTACCTGAAGAACATGAATAATTTTGGTTAATGTAATCCAAAATCGAACTCCAATAAAGTGCATGCTCCAAAATCAAGGAATTGAGATATCAAAGTCTTTTGATGATAAAAGATACTCCATATCAAAGTTTAAAGTTAGCTAATGATGAGCTGACATCTAGCCTTCCTCAATATGCAATCATTCGGGTAGAACCAATGAATCATAGAGTTGCATTATTCATTATTCCAAGCTGCAACCATTGAATCAATTAATTATTAAACGTAACAATCAATGCGTGATTTTGTGACACATTTTCTAATCAAGTTAGGAGATATGGCTATCTTAAATGTCTAATGCAATTCTAATATCTAATAGTTGCATATATCATTACAAAAAAAAAAAAATAAGTTCGACTACAAATGGAGTTAGAGATCAGGTGTACAATTAGGAACCATGATAAGTTTAGCATGAGTCCTACCCACCGCTAAACCTAATGTTGATGGAAGGATGAACAATAACATAACTCCATTTAAAGATGGTTATGAGCCATGTCGTATTTCATCTAGTGTCAAGCTTGTAACTTAGAGTTTGCTTGGCCCGACCCACTCCCTAGTCCCTATCCCATTATCCCACATGTTGAATGGTTTGAGCCAATGTGACTTTTTGAGTCTAGTCATAGCATGCTTACATGATAAGGTCAAATCTTACTTATTTGGTGTATTTTATCTTATCATACGCACTATCACACTTTTCAGAAATGATAATTTAAATACAACCTACGACTCGATACACACAATAACTTGTTGTACCTTGCATCGAGCATGGCTGGCCGACCTTTTGCCAATTTGCCATCTTTTAATTCCACTTAAGTGATTAATACCACAAAGCAAACAGTACTTGCGTGATTTTTGGGTTAGTCTTATTTAAGTACCAAGACCAAAAAATTAAAGTACACATTATTTTTTCAGAAAATAAAAGTACAATTAATATTGAACCTTTAATTAATTTATTTATTTTTCCTAAAAAAAAATTATTTATTTTTATACAGTAATTTCACCCGCCTTTACTTTGATAATTATTTAAAAAATTCTGTTTCTCTCTCTTCTTTCTCTCTCCTCAAAAAACACAAATTCCCATTTTCTCTCTTCCTCACTCTTCACTCCAAGAACCCACTCTCAAAATTACCCCAATTTCTCGAAATTAGGGTTAGGGTTTGTTCCATACCTGTATAATTTCATCAACAAGGAGCTCCCTTTTCTCCAATCATCTCTATAATTTGATGCGATATCAAAACCCTAATTAATTCAAATTTCCCCAAAATGTACGGTCATGAGCAGCATATGAGCGTGTCATCGTCTTCTCCCAATCATTTGCAGGAACCTCAGACTTTGATTGATGAAAACGACATCGTTCAAGGGGTTGAAGACTCCATTGATGATCATTACCACCGCCATAATCAGCAACGATGTTCTGACGATGGTTCTGTTCCTTTCGAAGGAGATTCAATTTATGCTGTTGATAATTATGGGAAGATTGAAGGTTCTGATCAGCTCACGCTTTCGTTTCGTGGCCAAGTTTATGTTTTTGATTCTGTCACTCCTGATAAGGTATAATATAATTTGTTTTTTCTCTCCTTTTTTATTTAATTTTAACTTTTTTGAATGTGAATTTATTCATTTTTGATTGTGGGTTGATTTAGAATTAATAAAGTTTGATTATTTTGCTAATTTCATGGTTGGAGCTTGGAAAATTAAGATGATTGCTTGTGTTTTAAGGGTTCAATTTTTATTTTCAATGTATTTAAGCAGTTTATTTTGAAGGGATTTTTTAGAAAATTAAGGGGCAATATGATTATTTTTTTCCAGGGATTTTATTATTATTTTCTTATTTTTGATGATCATGATCTCACTTCCTTAACAAATCGGTTTGTTATTGTAAGGTTGTAATGTGGGTATGGTATTCAATTTTGGATGAATGGGAAAGAAATTGGAAAATTTTGATAATTTCCAAAGATTTAGGGAATTGGACTATTTGTTTGATTTTTGGTGTGAAGAGGAGGTGTTAAGGGTATTCTGATGATACCTCCTGTTTAGTTTACTCTTTGAAATCGATTAGACTTTTTTGGACTTTGGTCAATATGTGTGTGGTGTGTCACTTTGAATTTTTGGAGAAAGCGATGAGATTAGGGGAAAAGAGGTGAAAGATTGGTTTTATGTGATCTTTTTGGCTTTTAGTGATAAGCCAACTTGGTTGTCGTACATCTAAGCAATGCTATTACCAGTATTGAGGCTTTCAAAAGATGTGGTGTACGGAAGTGTGAATGGAAAGCTAGCTAATTCAATTGCTGTTTTCAATATCAATCTCAATTTGCTTTAGCTCGGCTAAGCCTCAATCTTTTCAAAAAAAAAGAAATTTTTAATAATAAGTTTGATTAGTTGATATATTCTATATCAATGTAGCTAAAAGAGTAACCCTTAGGTAAAATAGACTGAATCATTTTGCTCGATACACTGTCCTCTGTTGTTTGGTGTGAAGTTATATCATTTATATGCTGTTCAAATGCCTTTAGTTGGGGTTAACAAGAAGAACCTTTCATGATTTGAAGGGTTAGACTGCATATACATGCCTATTGAAAAGTACGTTTGCTTTGTCATATTGCAATGAGAAGTATTCCAATGTAGACTACACAAGTCTAATTATGGTATCTTATTTAGTATCAATTATACATCAATGCTCAAAAATGTTGATTTTTCTCAATTTTACATTTTTGCTTTTTGAATGGTTTTGTTGACCAAGAACAGTGCTTTGTCAATGTTTTGTTTTTCATATGTTGAAGTTTCAACTTAGTATAATCTATAAGTTATACTCCCATTCAACTGATAAGGACCTTAAAGCTGATCTTGGATGAATTGTAATGATCATACTTTAGTTTATAGGTTCCAAGCCTTTTATTTTTTTACCTCTGTGGGGAGGATGATCTATATATTGAGTGTCAGGGACTTATGAATTTTGGAGGCTTTGTCTATTCTGTGTATCTCAACATTATTTGATTGCTTTAGGTTGAAGCCGTTTTGTTGGTGTTAGGAGGGAATGTGGGGGGAAGCGCACCATCTTCAGCTTCACAAGGTGCAGAAGTACCGCAAGTATCACATATGAACCAGCCGGTATTCATTATATATGTTTAATTTTTCCTCAATAGATCATATCTTGGTATGTTGTATATTGCACTAAGAATTTTATGTTTATATCTTGCATGTCATTGTCCCTTGTTGCAGGATATGATGGTATTTCCGGGACGCAGTAGTCTACCACAGCGAGAGGCATCTTTAAATAGATTTCGTCAAAAGAGGAAAGAACGCCGCTTTGATAAGTTAATTAGGTATAATGTTCGGAAAGAAGTGGCACAGAGGTATGCATTAAATATTAAGAATGTTATTGGACTTCTTTTTAGATAATAAACTGGTGCCTGAGGAAAACATTGTTATAGTGTCTAAAAGTTCCAGTCATCTTTGAAGTTTGTGATATCTGTTACTAGGCATTTTCTCTTGTCTTGATGCATTCTGATCGTACGATATGTTAGATATATCGCTGTGTGCCTTTCTTTCTGGTGCACAACTCATTTGGGATATTTTCTTCATGCTAAGATGAAAGCTTGTATGTTTTTTTCCAATTGACTGTTACCTTGGCTGCTTCCAATTTCCTGTTACTGTTTAGGATGGGAATCATGGGAATCTCATTAGTCTTTGACTTAATATTCTTATGTTTAAAAGTGCCATAGACTCTTTCAAGATATTTTATAAGGTTGTAATTCTTACCGAGAAGTCTTGATCTTCTAAGAACTTTTTTAAAAAATTATAGCAAGTTGTCTTTCAGTATTGTCTATATTGCGTGTAAATAAGTGTCTTTCAAGTGTATGATCAGGCACTTGATGCTGTATATGTACTATATCAACTAAGCAAAAGTAGTGCTCATAGCTTTATATCAGGCACTTGATCACCAAGGAATCAAAATTTGATTTGGACAAGCTTAGGATGTCATTCATTATTGTTCAAGTTGAATATGATGTGTTTTTGTGTAGATATGATCTTGCACTTTAAGTAATGTAAAACATGGAGAAAAAATTGTTTGAATATGTTGTATTGCTGTGCCACATCTTGTCTATTAAATTTTATCTACTGTATATGAATTTTTTTATTTATTTATTTATTTTTTTTATTTTTTATTGTTTTCATTTGTGTCTGCTATCTGTTTCATTAACAGGCAGCCCCGTAGCAAAGGACAATTTACATCCTCAAAGAAGGGGGATGAATCTTCTGGCTGTAATGCCCAAGATTCAGGTCCTGATGAGACACAGATAGAAACATTGTATGTTCCCTTGTTTCTTTATTTCGATGTAATTATAGAAATACTTTCCTTTCATTGACAACATTTTCTTTTTTCGGAGAAATTGTCATAAGGTCTCATTTCAAATTGTTGTAGAAGCTGTTAGCTTCATGTCCAGTTGTATACCTCTTTATTTGCTGTTTATGTATTAATCTGTTCCTTTTTCCTTCGCCCTTTGTAGCTGTACACATTGTGGAATTAGTTCAAATTCAACTCCAATGATGCGACGTGGACCAAATGGGCCTAGGACTCTCTGTAATGCATGTGGACTTGTATGGTCAAATAAGGTCAACATGCTCTTTATCTAATTCGTCCATTTTGTTGCTAATTATATGATTGCTTGTTTCCTCCTTCTGGTAATGCTCTGTACATAAACCTACTTTAAGTATGCTGCATGATGAATGACTTTTTTATTTTCAGTGTTCAGTAGATTGTGATGGGCTGTTTTATTTGTGGTTTTCATTGCTAATCTAACGTGGTGAATTGGTTAGAGTTCAGAATCCTATGTTCCTTTTGTAGGAAGCAATCTTCTTCATTTTCTTCTTGTCAAGCCTTTCAGAATTGTTGAGTGCTGAGCCCTTTGGCATTTGTGCAAGTTCTTTTGGGGGAATATTCTTCTCTGTTTGTCACTTGCTGTGGGAGTTTTTGGCTTCATCTCTGTTCTTAGCTCACTTGTTGTACAAATGTACATGGTATACCTTAATAAAATTATTAATAATTACATCAAAAGGACATTGATGTGGGTTTTGTCTTTGTACAAGTCAAGAGTCAAGACTACTGGAGGGAAATAGAATTGTCCATGTACTAGTCAACTGGGAAAAAAAAAAAAAGAATGTATTACAGAGAGACTAAGATTGAATACCATTGTTACCCTAGAAATGTATAATTATTTTGTTAGTGAAGTGCAGTGGTCCATGTGATATTCTGTCCTTCATTCTCAGGAACCAAGATCTTAACCAAATGTATTTGCGGCCATTGGTGTAATCAACACCGTGCTTGTGCAGTAGAAAACAAATTTCAGATTTGTGGTTCTGCTGCTGTAGTTTGTCTAGTGGGTATCATTTTCATTCTGAATTTCTGGAATGCTTAACACTGTTCTCTTGATTCTGTTGTATGACTAAATTTGAAATTTTTGCAGGGTACTTTGAGGGATCTTTCAAAGAAACAAGATCCATATATTATGCCTAGTGAACTGGTATCTTTTCTGGCTTTGTTGGTTTCAGCTTCTCTCGTAACCGTTTTTAATGAACATTGAAACATCATAGCATTATTTCTTTTTTGTGTTGCAGACTGGTGAATCCCCGTATAGAGCAACTGATATACTTGGAGAGGCCAAATATGTTACTTTTGGAGAAAATGACAGTACAGCACTAATTGCGCAACATTAATCCTCTACCACTTCTACTGTTGTTTCTACGGGAATGCTGCTACTGCTGTTGGCATCCAGGGCTTAGTGCATAGTGCTTGATATTCCTTGGCGACTGTACAGATATGACGCAGCTTTATTAATACAGAATCAACTTGTTACAAACTGCATTATGAAACATACTCAGAACATCGGATAGCATGTTAACACTATTGACATGATATTTAGTACTTTTTTCACATCATCATCTGAAAATGATAAGCATAGTAAGTTATAAATCTGAAATCAGACTTTCCAGCTGACTTTTCTAGCTGTCTATTTATCTAAAAATATGAGCATGATTAATACCATTTCAGGTGGTCATTCTGTAAATTTACAGCAACACTTTTTTGTTGTTTTTCCTTTTAAGTGTTAAAAAGTATTTTGAGTATGTCGCCTCGCCTTAATTCTATATTCTTACGATCTAGGTTTATGGTTTGAGCATTGAGTCCAACTTATTCCCAAACCATTAGTAGCCTAATAGGATAATTAGCCTTAACGCGAGTCTAAGTACATTACTCATCAGCCTTTATGACATGCTGGTCTGTCCCTGTCAAATTTTTTGCCTGTTTGTATTTTTATTTTTAAAATAGAGAAGCAGGAGGAAGCCTAGGTTAATCTCCGTGATAAACAAAAATAGTTTGTCACATAACATTTTGTTAAATAAATCAACAACTTCATTCAGTCATCATCACTGTGAGACCCGTTTTTAAGATAAAAGTTCTTGATTTATTTACAAAAATGTCATGCGATAAACAAAAATTGTTAATCTCAGAAATCAACTTGTATTTACCCTAAAGGAGATCCTAGATTTTGGCACTTAAGACTCAACCTACAAAAATAATTTTTCATGAATGCATCCCGATATAATAAAATAAAAATGCTTCATGAAGGAAATGCTGAATTACCTTAACAATTAAAATTTATATATGGCGGTAACTTTATATTTGTACTTCGTACTATGTGATATAGTCATATGGAATATTCGAAAAGTTCACTCTTGAACCCATCAATATTATCTACTCAAACTCTCAAAGTGCAGGAGGCCTTTTCCGGTTATCTAGCCATCTTCCTATGAATTTGTGTGAATTATTGATCACCTATTCACCTCCTATCCCTTTAGTAGATAGAGTTGTCAAATGGAGTATACATGAAGGGTCTAATTAGTTAGGATTATATCGTTTAATGATTTATACGAGGTTAGTGTATATAGAGATTAAATGTTTACTTTGTTCTTTTTCCGAATCACTTTGGTTTTTATTGGATTGCAACCAAATTTAGTCAATTTTTAACAGCTCTAACTAGAGCGACATTTGAAAAGGATAATTTAAGGTCATTGCTAATTATGGATTTTTACAAACTCAAAGCAATGAAAAGAAACTTATAAGGAAAATGGGTTCCAAAGAAACCAACCGTGAAGGGGCTGTACTTGAAAGGGCTAATACGAAACTTTGGTTGCTTATTTTGTGACATAATATAATCAATATCGTTTTGTATTATTGCATTACCCATTATTAACATGTACCCTGATCTTCTATCTCCTTTCGATTTCTATTCTTATCTCTTATATTCTCATAATGAAGCCCAACAACATAATCCCATATCTAATTGTACAATTTATGTTCTCTTTTACAAAATACTTATAAGAAATCAAAACTAAAAATATAAAGTCAACTCAAACCTGAGTTACATCAATCGATACATAATTTTGTCGTACATTTTAAATTAACACCCCGTTTATAAACAGATTCTACGATAGCAACAATTGCATATAAATTATTATTATACGGAGTAATAATCAAAAGCCTTTTCTTGAAACACAAATCACAAAAATATTACAAAGAATTAAATTAGTAGCACCCATTTTATAAACACTCACACACACCCACGCACAATCACACAACAAAATCTGAAAAATTTTCAGCCACTCCACCAATCACAATACTCCAACATTCTGTTATGTCTTCTTAATTCTGTTATACTTTCACGCGCCATTTCTCAACTACTTTACCCACTTTTCCCTAAACCCTCCTTAACCCCCCGCGCGTTTTTTTCACGCGCCTCTTCTTCCTATTTTCTGTCCAAAAACCTCCCCCCAAATAACGAACTTTGATTCTCTTTCTCTTTCTCTTTCCTCTTCTCTCTCTAAAACTCTAATCATTCCATTTTTCAGTGAATTGTATTTCACATTCTTCGTTTTTATACACCCCCAACACACGGGTTCACTCAAATCTTACTTTTTCAGAGAATTTCATCTATAATTTGGAGAGAGAAAGTAAAATTTGATTTGGGTTTTTGTTTTTTGTATGAATTTCTTCATAATTTTTGATTTGGGGTTTATTTTTTGATCTGGGTTTTGTTTTTGGTTCATAAATGAGCTGAAAATAAGTATAAATCCTCATTTTTTTTGCCCAGAAATTATATTCATCTCTGCAAGTTTCTCTGATTTTTTTTCCTGTTTTACTCTGTTTTCTGGTAAATTTTCCCCTCCCTTTTACTAATCTCACCATTTTTTCCTTGTTTTTGTTCTTCATTTTTAGATTGTAAGTATGAATTTCTGAATTTGTTTTCCAGACTTTGAGATGGGGATTGAAATGGGTTCTGTTTATAAGCTCAATCGTCACTCTAACACTAAAATCCCAGCTGCATTCAGCTCAATAAAAGCTGTTTTTGTAAGAATTTTTGCTCAAATTTCATCTATTACTCAACTGATTATGCTATTTTCTGGGTTTTAAATTTTTGGTGTTAAACTAAATTTCAGGTGAATCATAAGAGTGACGAAGATATAACAGTGGTGTTTCCGAGTATTCAATCTCTGGAAAATTTTTTTGGAGGTGTGAAAAAAAATGAATTAATTCAACCAAATTTAGATGAACATTATGTAATGAGTTTGAATTTGGGTAAGAAATTACTCACCCAGAAAATTTCATTTGATGAGTTTACTGCTCAAAGAGGAAATCGAAGTTTCTGGGTTCATGATGATGAAGATGAAGACGATCATCATGTTTCGAATGATGGGTTGGAAATCAAATGGGAAAAGCGTCGAAGAACAACAATCTATAGTAAACAGAGATCAGAGCGTCAGATAAAAATGGCACAAAGATTGCCTTCTGAGCTCACAGTAGAAGCTTCAATGGAGGATGAAAAAAAGGAAGAAGAAGAAGAAGATGACGGTGATGATGAAGTTGAAGATGAAGCAGAGAAGGTTCCAGAAAAAACCCGAGTTCTTCGAAAGCGAAAATGTCAATTTAAAGGGATGAAATATCATGAGAAGAAGAAGATGAAGATGAAGAAAAATCAGATTAAGGTAGTTTCTGAGAAGAAGTTCAAAGATTCTCAGCATAGATGGACTATTGAGAGGTATAAATTAATCAAGAAATTCTTATTTTTAATTTAGTTTTTCTTGATTATAGTAATTTTTCTGTACTTTTTAAGCTGTTGTTGTACTTGGATTTTTGAAGAAGTTTTAGTTATGGAAGTTGGATGATGTTAAAAAAAAAAATAATAAATAAAAGTTAAAAAAAGTAATGGGGTTACTTGAATATTGTTTGTTTTTATCAAAGGTATAAGTTGGCAGAAAAGAATATGTTGAAGATCTTGAAGGAAAAAGGGGCAGGACCCGGGAACCCGATTTTACGACCCGAATTGAGGTCGGAAGCTCGGAAGCTGATCGGTGATACGGGTCTTTTGGATCATTTGCTGAAGCATATGGCAGGGAAGTTAGCTCCTGGTGGGGCGGAGAGGTTTCGACGTCGGCATAACCCGGAAGGTGCAATGGAGTATTGGTTGGAGAGTGCTGATTTGATTGAAGCAAGGAAGCAAGTGGGTGTTACTGACCCGTATTGGGTACCGCCTCCCGGTTGGAAACCGGGTGATTGCCCGAACCAAGACCCGGTTTGTGCTATGCAGCTTAAGGAGCTAAGGGATGAAATTGATGACATGAAGAGGTAGAACATGTTTAAATTAGTGATTAATTGAAGTTGTACTAAATGAATAATTAATTTCATTTAATGCAATGTGTTCATGTCAATTGTGTCTGAATTCTGATTTTGTTAATGAGCAGAGAGATGCAAAAGTTGGCAGGAAAAGGGAAAGAAAGCAACCAGGCTTCAGATGGTCCTCCAATAAGTTTTGGTGAATCAATAAAGTCACTGAAGGTATATTAGTACTCCCTCAATTTAGATGACTCGCAAGACTTTTCTTTTAGACCCATTTATTGAATGGCTTGTAGTTAATCAGTTCGTAATCATATTACTAACAGAATTGTTTATGTTTGTAGCAGGCAACACATGCTGAGCTAATGAAGAGGAAAGCCAATATTGAGAAACAACTGCTAGAAATCTCTAAGACCTTTACTGGAATGGAGGTACCAAATTACCATAAATGACTAGATTTACAGTTTCATTAACTCTGAATCATTAGTTAATCAAGCAGTTAAGCATGTAAATCTCATCATGTATGTATATACTAGTATAATCTTATCTTAATGTGGGATTTCAGAAGTTAATCATACGCAAAATGGTCAAATTATGTTTCTAATTAGTGCTTGATTTGGTCCAACTTTTTTCATTCTATTGTAGAATGTGTTGAATCTGAAATGTCTTGTTCAATTACAGTAACTCGCACAAATAGGAAAAGAGCATTAATGTGGGACATTGTTGCATAAAATGTTACACATTTCTGGCATATTATAAAGTTTATGAACTTTATAATATAACAAGCATGACTGCATGCAGATATACCCCACTAAGAAGAAAATCAACTAACTAAACTAAGAGGTGCTGTACTATTTCCTGTTTCAGGAGGATATAGGGAGGCTGAAGGAATCTGTAGCTGAAGAAAAAGGGGGTGAAGATCAACAATTGGCAGAGGATAAAACTGAATCAGATAAGGATAAAAAAAGGACAGTAATTAATGAAGATGAAAATTTGAAGACCAAAGAGAAGGAACTGATAAAAGTGCCCCCAAAATTAAGGACACCATCCCCAAAATCTTCACCAGCTGCTACAGAAAAGAAGGAAAAAAACAGGAAACAAATTCTGAAGAGTGGCTTCAGAATCTGTAAACCTCTGGGAACTTTTCTCTGGCCTTCCCAAATGGGTTCTTTCTCTTCTTCTGCCTCCTCTCAAGTGTTGGTCCACCTTGAAGATCTCCTAGGGTACCCTACACCGCCTTCTTCTGTCTCTTCCTCCTCTAGTAAGCCACCCTCCTACCTCTTCCCCCCACCACCACCACCACCACAGGAGCCGCAGCAGTCGCTATCGGCCTTGGTGAAGAGGCCGGTTGCAATGAGGGCTGCTGTCACTCTGAATTTCTCTATTGCTACAATCAAAGGGTCAACTACTATTGACAGTATTTCTAGTCCTACTGCTACTGGGTGTAGTAGTAGTGTTCAGACTTTTGTTCCTGATCTTAATGAAGTCCCTCTTTCTTCTTTGACTTGATTAAGGGTAGCCCTTGTCCTGTTGTCCAGGTTTTACATATAGATTAAAAAAAAAATCCAAACTTTAGGTTAAGAGGTCATTAATTCATTAATAATGTGTGGACTTTGGGTTAAATTTTTGGTGCATCTGATTTTTTGGTTTCTCAGAAGGAAGACGGGTTTTATACACCAATTATATTGTTGTTAATTTTTAATTTTTGGATAATGTAAACACTATAGTATGAGAAAAATCATTTTATGGCTCACATGAATGGAAATATAGAATCTGAAATATATATATACTCAACATTACGTTGAAATCTTTGTAATTCCCTTAATTCTTGTTATTCTCAATAAGCCTATTTTCTACTTTCTAGAGAGTATTAAATTATATGTATGCTCTAATAATACTATAACAGTTTTTAACTTGTAAAGGCATGGGCATCTCAAAAAGTCAAAATGGAGTATATAAAGGAAAATGTACACTAGTGTGGCTCGTAATTCTTATTTTTGAGCTCAAAGTGAATAAGTGAGTTTCGAATTTTCGACCTTTTTTAAGCTTAATTTTATGAGGTCTAACTGTAGTATTACTTATTACTACTCATAACAACTTTCACTTAATATACAAAGTGCTACACTCTACATATAAAAATATCTTAAAATTTTCAAACTTGTTCACAAGCTTCTCGAATTACTCATATTAAAGCTCAATTTTGCTAATCTATTGAAAATGTTGAATTAGTCCCTAGTATCTCATGACCTATCTAGTATCTATCATATAATATCTTACTTGGCCATAAAAGAAATCAAACCTTGAATTAAACTTAACATTTAATGCTAAATTATATGATAATTGATTATTGCACTCGTAAATCATTAGCTAATCTACAAATATACTGTACATACGACTACGTATGAGTAGTTGAGTTGTCGCGTACCCCATCAAATAATTTTGAGCACACGTGTGCAAATCGAGTAATATATTTTTTCGCATTATGTATTTTCCTCGTGAGATGGATCATCTCGTTCCTTTTACCCTTGAACAATGCATGCTTAGCATGATGTTCATGAAAGAAAAATCCAAAACAAAGGTTGCCAAAATAAGGGGAGGCAATAGTCACAGGTATCCACGTAGCAGTAGTGATCTCACACTTTTCTCATTCTCTCTCATCCAATCCTAAAATTACAACGATCGAATATTTGCAAAAATTTCAATTTCCCGCTTTTATGACACACAAAACACGTACTCTCACGCCCACAATTCGTGTGATTATCAGCTGCTAAATTATTTCAATCTTTTTTCTTCTTCTTGTTACACCTTTTCTTTTTCTTTTTTTTTTTTTTTGAAAAAAAAAAAATTCAAAATTTAGTCCTAAATGAGTCAAGGTCCGTTAAGTAAGGAACAATATAAGCACATATAGCTTATTACGGAGTATTGATCATCATATTATAAGCATATTTATACATGCATGATGCATATATCCTCTCATAAAGACATAAACTCATCTTGCTAGCAAGAAAACTCTGCATACGACAATTAGAAAACTAGTTAAGGTTTCTAAAACCATAAACAACTTAGCATAATTTTATTTTAGAAAATTACTAAGATACGACGTATTATTCTTTTAAATACAACTTCGTATCATAAGATATGTATTTTCATATATTCCTAATCTATTTTTTATAATTTAATAATATATCTATTGTCATATAGTTTAATGCACATTTGGTCTAACCCGCATGGTAACTAAATCAAAATGTACGCGTTATAAAGTTTTTTTAAAAATTGAATAAAATAAGATTATCTTTGAGAGATTTCTTCTATATGTTGATTGATAAACATTTAGAGTACAATTTTAATCTGTGGGTTAAGAGAAATTATCATATGGATGAACTATTCTATTTACCTTTTCAACCAAATGCATCATATTACATATTCACATACACATTAGTAAAGCACCAGCATGCTTGATGCTACATACATGATATGTATGATTTACACCATTAATAATGTGAAACGCTAAACATCGCCCGCAATTTACCATATAAAGCCCACAAATATGATATGATTTGACCATTATGCCCTTTTTCTAAAATTGAAATAAACTCGGTGTAAAAAATGTGGAGCCGTACTGGCTCGCCGGGGGAGACCGGAGGGCAGGCCGGAGATGCGGGGGACGCCGGAGGTACGTCGTCGTCGACGGAAAACGAGGTAAGTCACCGTTAAAATTCACGGTTTACCGTCGGAGTGGCTCCGGCGCCTAGGGTGGACGCCCAAACCGTAGCCTGGACGTCCAAGCCAGACGCCAGAACCACCAGAGTGGCGTCCAGCCCAGACGCCCAGACCACCAGACTGGCGTCCTGGGCAGACGCCACTCCACTGGGTGAGGCGGCCCTGCCAGGCGCCAGTCCAGTGGCTGTGGCAGCCCTGGCAGACGCCACCTTTAATAATTAATTTTTTTTTTCTTTTTTGATTTTGTTGTTGTTTTTTATTTAATTTTTTTGAAAAAAAAATCGAAAATGATTTTTTAATAAAATTCGAAATGGGTTTTTTGTAAATTAAATTTGAAAATTCGAAATAGGTTTTTTTTAAATTAAATTTGAAAATTCGAAATGGTATATTTTTAAATTAAGTTTGATTATATATAATTATGTTTTTTTTGTGTTAATTCTGTGTAAATATAGAAATTAAATGTATTATCCGTTAAATGTATTTATTGTAATATATAATTGATGCAGGAATATGGTGGAGACGGAAATGATTACAGTGGGATATTTGGACATGATGGTCCATTCGAAGAAGCTCAACAGGCGATTGATTGGGCAATTGCAATTGCAGCTGGATTTTGCTTGGTAGTAGCAACTCATAAATCTCAACGGGACGGTAGAATGGTTCGCATTTTGAGATGTGACCGTTATCGCAAAAGAGAAGAAAGAGATTTTTGTACAGCCACTCGGTTTGACACAAAGCGGAAAGGTTGTGGGTGTGAGTTCAGAGTAAAGGTTCGACAACTACGGAGTCGTGACGGTTGGGAAGTGATAGGTTACTCTAAATGGGGGTATCACAACCATGAGATGATAGTATATGAAGAGGGTCATCGACAACTGAGCGGCTTAAGTCCTGCTGCGAAACTAGTTGTGAAAGAAATGAGTGATGCTCAAGTGAAGCCTGCTAAAATATTAGCATCTGTGTTAGAGAAATTTCCAGAAGACCATCCAAACCGAAGACACATCTACAACGTCAGACAGCAACTCAGGTTTGAACGGTCAGAGGGAAGGAACCCTATACATCAGCTGCTACACCAGGCACAATCACGTGGTTACCTGTTCTGGTTTGATTCTGATGAAGATACAGCGGAGGTGACTCATCTTTTCCTTGTGCATCCTGATTGTGCTGATATGATCAAGTCTTGGCCATTTGTGATTTTGATCGACTCAACGTACAAGACAAACAAGTACAAGTTCTCTCTGGTTGAGATGGTTGGGATGGCTCCAACGAACCAGAACTTTCTGATTGGTCATGCAATCATCAGGGATGAGACGGCTCCAAGTTATTATTGGGTGTTGGAGAAGCTGAGAAACTACATCGGGCCTAATGTTCATCCAGCAGCCATCGTCAGCGACTGTGAGGGAGGTCTCTTTGCCCCCATAGCAGAGCTGTTTCCCGAATCGAACCACTTATTGTGCACATGGCACATCAACAACTGCGTGAAAGTGAAAGCCTACAACCTTTTCAAGAAGAATTTGGAAATGGCAGAGAGATTGGTGAATGGTAAGTGGCGGAAGATCCTACAGGCTACCACAGAGGAAGCGTATGAGCGAGCATTGGCTAACTTCAGGGATTCGTACCAGTGGTGTCCGGCACTGGTGGACTATGTGATGCATCAATGGGTCCCTCACAGGGAAAAGTTTGTCAAATATTGGACAAACCAGGTACTTCATTTTGGGAACACTACAACATGTAAAGTTGAGAGCGCTCATAGAGCTACCAAGGACTGGATTGATTCATCGACCGCTGCTTTGGATACACTGTTCGCTAGACTGAACAAGTCAATTGAAACTCAGAAGAACGACATCAGGAACTCTCTAGAGGACTCCAGACGACGACATGGTACGATGTATAGCCATTTTATATTTAAGATTCTCCAAGGTCGTGTGTCGCACTACTGCTTGGGGTTGATTCTCACTGAGCTGAACAGGGTGAGGGACTTGGCTGACGAAGTGTATACTCGGTGTGGGTGTACTATTTCAGTAACTCATGGATTACCTTGCGCATGAACCATTCACCGCGTTATTACAGAAGAAAGGGCGTCGTTACATGTTGATCAGGTCCATTCATTCTGGAGGACGCTTGTTATTGGTGAGCATGCAGACAATCAAACGGCCGACCGTGAACAGGAGGAGTTGGAGCAGTTCCGTTCGATGTACGACCGAGTGTCCTCCAGCCATCCTTCTATTATTCGTGACGCTACTCATGTACTTCATGACATGTTCCACCCGTCTAACTTAGATTATGAGGAACCCGAAGGAGTTGACCGTCCTCGAGGTCGACAACGGCGGAACAGGAGTGCGTTTGAGTATATCCGTGGTCTTGGTCGTGGTCATTCTCGTGGTCGGACATCGTCATCTAGTCGTAGTCAATCTTCATCGTCTGTGAATATGCCCCTGAGAACTGGTACGTTTTGGTTGTTTTTATTGCACATAGTTTTAAAGTGTTACTCCTGCCTTCTTAACTGTCTATAATTAATTATATGGTGAATAGGAAGAAACGATGTTGATCAGTTTCCGTACAAGGAAAGGATACCTGCGATCATCATGTCGTACTTGGAAGGGTGGAATGATGTAATCGGAGATGGTAACTGCGGATTCCGGGTCGTGGCTGATGTTTTTCAAATGGGCGAAGACAACTACGGTTTGGTGCGTGAGTTGATGTACAACGAAATTGCCTCTAACCGAAATGTTTATCGTCATGTGTACCAGGATGACTTGGATGGCGCTCTGCGGCGTATCCGGTGGGGAGGT